CTGAAAGCGAATAGTGCAATTACAAGGACTAACGACAAATACTAATAGCTTTGGTAGAGAAGATCGGACAGATTTCGCCAAGGCAAGCTGGGCAGTCGCCTATTGCTCCTATTCCAGATAACCCACTGTACCCTGTCTGAAAGGAAGTAACGCTAGAGTAAACTCGCGAAAAGTGTATAAGACACTTTTAAGATCAACTAAATATCTAATCCCAAGGGAAGTCGTTCGGGGAGGCCCTCCCTAGTTCCACAAGGCTGAGAAGATACGATACCGAAACATTGAATCATGTAAAAGACCTAGGATAACTGCAAAGCAAAATAGTAAGAATATGCAGTAAGTTAAGCAAAGAGATAAGCAAGATTCATGCTGCTACTACAGCTACTAAACGAAAACATCTAAAATTAAAAATTAATTCAAACAAAATAAAGCTTGCAAGATAGAGGAGTATCGTAACTACGAAGTCTTCTTTGTCTTCTCCACCGTTGATCTGAAACAGGTATGTTGGCAACACATTAATAACAAGCAGTTTTCAATTAACTTTGAAGTATTCTTACCTTAATCAACTGCAAAATATAGCGTCTCAAAGTTTCTACGTAAATAAATCTAGGGAGAGTTGCACCATTGAATCAATTTAATATTAACTGGAAGATGATACATGAAGAAACCAGGTCCAGGAAGAACGATATCTTTGTACTTCAATGTTCTCATTTGTCGGTTAGTCTATAGAAACAGGCAAAAAAAAACAAATTAACTATGTTATTAAATAAATAACACATGAAATAAAATAAAAATAAGCAACGAAAGCAAGTAAAATACGAAAACTAACCAACAAGTTAAAATGGCGAAAAAACAAATAAACAATAAACTGTCCATAGATAAGAGAACGTCAAGAGAAATAACCATAGCTTATGGTAAGGACAAATAGGGTGTGTTCCATTACACTAACATACAGATGAAAGAAAAAAATAACTAACAAATATACAAATGTTCCATTCCTAGGGAAAGCAAAACACTTTAGGATTTTAAAAATGCACTGAAAACCAACAATAATTGACAAATTTTATACTATAATATTAGAATGGCGGAAGGAGAAACCATAAATTATTTCTCTCTTTTCTAATCTATGACCTATTCTATGGTCGCTTTCAGGAGACATAGATAGCAGGAAAATAAGAGACAATCATAGATGCACGATATAACGTCAATTTAAATTATGGATAACTAGGGTGCGTTCCGCTAGCTTATACACCTTTCAGCACACTTACGAATATAACATTGCCGCAATTGTATCTTTTAATTAAGATGTACATATTTAACTATTTTGACAAAAAACAGCAAGACAAAAAGTTTTCTATCAATATATCTTTGCCTAGTACTTTTTAATTTGAATTTTAACTGTAGATTTGAAATTCTTATTATAGTTAAAATTGCGAAGTTTTCAAAATTAAGCTAACCAATTTTAATAATTTTGTCTGGAGAAAACAATGAATACCTGTAGTAACGCTTCCTTGAAAATTTTCAATATATAGTTAAAACTATTGCCATCATTTAACATCTAATGCAAGTTGTACAAATATTATTTCATTTAATTCTTATATAAGCCGCCATCGACAACCGCCAGAAAGCCCAAAAACAGTAATTTAAATGTAGTGTAATTTAATTAAGTTATCTTTTTGGAATATTTTTTTAAGAAATGTAATTGCTTCAACTGAAGTTCATTTTATCTTTTAATTTAGAATAAACTATGCTTTTATTTATATTTTACAGTACTCTAAGACTTATTCCATCAAATATATTAACAAAAAAACATTACCCCAATATTTTTTAACGTTAATTCTTGCCTTAATTAATTAATGATCTGGCTTTCTCATTTTACATAAACTTGAAAGGGGCATTAATTTGATGTCAGTCTTTATTTTCACAACCCCTTCATGCAAATCAATAGACAGCAGCTCTCCTGTAGCTTCTCTTTCTTCCCCGATAATTACCTAAAAGAACACGATATAAGCATAAAACAGATTCATTTACTTAAACTTAAAATTGTATTGATTAAAAATAAAGATGGCATTTAATATATATCACATTCTTTAAATACGTACTTTAAATGCATCTCCACGTTGTGGTCTAACTGGATCTAAGTGGTTACTCATTATATTCACGACACGATCTTCTTCAGGCAAAAATACAGAACACATTGATCCAGAAATACTACGAATTATTCCTGTTTGCCCTACTAAGCCCGGATCATCATGACTGTCACGTATTATCACCTGTAAAATGAATATAATACTCATTAATAGCTTCATATAATAATAAATGAATAAAAAACGATTAGAACAACTTTACCTAAATGATAAACCAAATTATATAAGTAAATGATTCATTTCAAACATAATTAATTTAACAACGCATGTCTAATTTTTATTTATTACCTTCAAGGTGGTAACATGGTTTTACTTTCATCTCACAATGAGGAACATATTTTAGTAATACAGACTTTTTATTATTTATTTAAGTAGTCAACTTATTTGTAAAATAATTTATATGGGAAATATTAAATGTCTTCTTNATATTAACAAAAAAACATTACCCCAATATTTTTTAACGTTAATTCTTGCCTTAATTAATTAATGATCTGGCTTTCTCATTTTACATAAACTTGAAAGGGGCATTAATTTGATGTCAGTCTTTATTTTCACAACCCCTTCATGCAAATCAATAGACAGCAGCTCTCCTGTAGCTTCTCTTTCTTCCCCGATAATTACCTAAAAGAACACGATATAAGCATAAAACAGATTCATTTACTTAAACTTAAAATTGTATTGATTAAAAATAAAGATGGCATTTAATATATATCACATTCTTTAAATACGTACTTTAAATGCATCTCCACGTTGTGGTCTAACTGGATCTAAGTGGTTACTCATTATATTCACGACACGATCTTCTTCAGGCAAAAATACAGAACACATTGATCCAGAAATACTACGAATTATTCCTGTTTGCCCTACTAAGCCCGGATCATCATGACTGTCACGTATTATCACCTGTAAAATGAATATAATACTCATTAATAGCTTCTTATAACAATAAATTAATAAAAAACGATTAGAACAACTTTACCTAAATGATAAACCAAATTATATAAGTAAATGATTCATTTCAAACATAATTAATTTAACAACGCATGTCTAATTTTTATTTATTACCTTCAAGGTGGTAACATGGTTTTACTTTCATCTCACAATGAGGAACATATTTTAGTAATACAGACTTTTTATTATTTATTTAAGTAGTCAACTTATTTGTAAAATAATTTATATGGGAAATATTAAATGTCTTCTTTTTATGTTATTTTATTTCTATTTTCTGAAAGTATTTTTTCTGTTTTTTAAAAAATTAACTGATTTTACCTCAATGTCCACAGTGTGCCACTCGGCCATTGACGAGGAGTCCAAGCCTGCTCCTGGTGTCTGAGGATTGTAAGGCATGTTGGGGCTGTATCCAGAACTGGGAGTGTTGTAGGGATTGTTACTTGCAGGCGATTGACTGTATCCAGTTGCGGGACTTGGCGTAGAAACAACACCTACAAATTAAAATATGGAACATTAATTGATATCTTTTGTATTAAAAAGAAAAGCTAGGAAATGAATAAAATCACTTACTCTGATACCCTGGACTGGGTTGATAGGGGCTATATCCTGTGTCATAAATGGTTCCTGGTGTCTGTGGGGTGTAAGGACCATTCATTTGATACGCAGGGGTACCTAACAAATAAAGAAAAATACATCATTAATATAAGTTTTAGAAAAATATAGGTGCTATTAAACATAATAACGTTTTGTGTAAATCATAGAAAACAACTAATAAACTTTGAATTTAATAACACAAAAAACTGCGTATTTTAATTGTTTTAAGTTGCAATAAGTAAAAAAAAATAAAAATACATACTTCCATAAAATGAGTGTTAAAAATAAATTTAGATTCATATTCTTGATCATTTGAATAATAATATAATAATTAAAGAGAAAGTAAAAGGGAGAATTTTCCACGCAAAACTTACTAGGATTATATCCTGGAGAAGGATAAGTGTTGGATACAGAAGGATCCCATTCGGAATGAGCGTTAGGAGTCCTGGAACCATCGTGGATAGGTGTCATGGAGCCATAATGGAGAGGAGTGCGAGAGCCTGAATCTGCCATGGGAGTTTTGCTTCCACTCTCTCTGTACAATGGAGTTTGATTTCCAGTGTATGCTGGGGTCCTACCATAACTCGTAATGCTACCATCTCTACTGGGAGTACCTTTGAAATGAAAAATTAAAGGTATTTATTTCTTCTATAGAGAACATCATTTAATTAAACTCAATATCAATTTACAATTAGCAAAATACTTACCAACATCTGCTATGTGACTTCTATCGACTGAAATAGTTTGACATGAGGTGTGCAATTCGATACGAGCTGTGCTTTGAGTAGCATCCTTTACAATACCGATGTTGCCTTTGTATGGACCTCTTGTAATCTTGATTGTAGAACCAATGAGGTCTCTGTCACGGGCCACGCGACCTCTACCTCCACCACCTCCTCGAGGACCTCCAAATCCTGAAAATTAAATCATTCCAAATACTGCATTGTATATATTAGATTAGATTATTTGTAAGTACATAAAAAAAATACATACCGCCACTTGAAGGATGCATAGGAGAACTTCTCCTTGGTGACATAAATTCCATTCCGGTTGCAATGTCAGCGTTAGGAACGCTTTTGCTTCCACCGGCCAATTGTAAATGTTTGGTTTTACACACAAAGATGCCACCGTTCTGAAGATATTCAAGAGAATGTAAGAAAGCAAAATTCCTGTACAGGTGCTTAATTTCTCCTGAAAATCCAGAATGAGGTCCATCGATTACTTTTACCATATCTTTACGATGGAGATTGTTACGGTACGAGTCTAGAGCAGCTGTGAAACGGTTCAAACGGCGTTTTTGAAGCGAACTGGGGCGACATTCCACCACTTTTCCTAAAAACGGAAAATGTAGAGCTGGTAAAGAAAATATGGTTTTTAACATACCGTGCATATTTAGAACATGGAAATTTTCTCGTTCCAATCTAACGATTACTCCAACGGTTTCAGAGTCCAAATTAACCAAATCTCCCCACTCGAATTTTCCCAGCGAATCAACTCCACTGGCCATGTCAGTGCATAACTGTAGATCCTTTGGTAATATTTCCATCTCGTGCATGGTCAAGTCGGATATCAAAACTACACGATTGTTTTCTACCCTCACCACCAAACCTGTATCACCCTCATAACGACCTGAGAACAGAAAAGAAAATAAAATAGAAATAATTCAACCATCGAAGTAGTTAACATACCGGACAGAACTTTAACGTGATCTCCCATCCTGAAATACTTTCTTAATTCTGACGCTTGGAACACTAACGGGTCTTTTAGATCTTCGTGTTTTGGCATTACCGTAATCATATTTCCATCTATGGTCAAAATTTTTCCTTGTAAATTAATCAATTCGCCCTCGGACACTTCAACGTTATCTCCGGCACTAAATGAATGTGTTGACGTCTTGTCTTCCTTATCTGCCGCTATTTCGAGGTCTATGCCTTCTGGTTGTTCCTCAAACCTTTCCAGTTCAGCCAAAGTAGGTTTAACTCCATCAATAATCACTGCACTGAGGGTAAAATTCTTGTAGAGAAATCCTTTACGAGAATATCTGTTGCCCTCAAAGATGAGAAAGTCGCCATCAGACGTTACTTCGCCCCCAATAGCCCTTATAGCTTCAGGATCAAATGGTTTACTGGGGGGTCGTCTTTTAAGTTTTCGTTTATTAGCATCTGTCTCTGATTGAGTGGTACGTAGAGCCCCTCGGGGCCTTGTATAATCGATTCTAGGCAATAATTTCAGATGCACTTGATTTTGGGCCATATCAAAATAATCGACTTGGGCGATGTCATCTTTATAGAGTCCTCGTTTCAAACGAACCCATTGCTTCGATTTGAGGCCAGTCTGTTCTTTGACGACTCGTAAGACGTCTGTCATCTCCTTTATGGGAACCATTTGTTGCGTCCAGACGCCCATACGGAGATTGCCCACGTTTTCTATGACTGCCTTGACATGGGGCTGTTTATAAGCTTCGATGTAAATGTAGCCTTTTACCCCTTCGGGAGCGACGACCGATTTTATTTGCAAAGGCTCATTTGTATTTTGATAAGCAAGGAATTTACGCATGAGTAAGAGACAGGTGGACTTTTCTTCTCCAATTCGACATTTTACCATCCACAGGTTTGGGTCCCTTTAAAAGAATTGTAAATTAAATTGCTTATGGTTGATATGAAATTACGTTATTTATTTTGTATTAGTTTACTTAAATTATTTTTTTAGCAATGAATCATGTACCTCTATAGGGCAGTAGTTTAGCATATAATTTAAGATTATAATGCTGTAACTGCTTGTATTTCTTTTTTCTGGTTTTATTAAATAAATAAAAATAAATTAATTTAACTAAACTAAAGAAGAAGAAAATTATTGTATTTCATCAATTGATGATAAAACTATTAAAATATTTAATATTCATTCTATAATTGAAATTAGGACTTTATATTTGGTATTTAGTTTGCATTAATTCTATAATAAAATAATAACATACTTGACTCCAGGAAGTAAAGTCTGCTGTGTGATTTCATCTGACATGTCCTCACCACCCTCTCCAAAATGTCTTGCAGCTGCTCCATCATCAGCATATTTTTTACGAAGGTATTCTTCAATTTCATGTTCTTTCTGGGAACTAAAATGAGATACAGACTTTTTAGTTTTATGTCAAAATGATTGCAAGTAAATGCTACATACTCCCACAAATTTGTTCCCCTCCTGCGAATTTCAATTTCTCTGGCTGTTGGGCCCACTTCATCAATTTCATTTCCCACAATTCCAATTTCTTGAGCATCCTCTTCCCAGTCATCCTCATCTTCAACTTCATCATCCACCTATAAACAAGTAATTGTAAACACATTAATTTCATAAATTGTAAATAATTAAGAAATTTCATGTTAAGAATGTATTTATTTTTAATAAACTTACCTCAGCTTCATCAATAATAAAACCACCATATCTATCTTTCTTCTTTCTTTTACGTCTATGCCCTGAATCACTTTCATCTTCTTCACTATCATATTCTTCACTGTCATGAAGGGAGTCACCCTCTGGTTCTTGTTCTTCCTCTACATCTTCCTGTTCTGAAGCTTCTCTTGCTTCTGAACTATTTTAAATAAAAACCTTACACTTATATATTGCTGACGAATTATAAAACTAAAATACTTAAAATACAATGTTCTTAAAACAACATAACTTGTTTCTTAAATAGGATAATAATAACATAAATTACATAAGGCTAGATATACGAGAAAGTAAATGATAGAATGCTGAATGCACAAGTTTTTAAATTGGAATAAAATCATACCCTGATCTACTTCTACTTCGCGATTTTGACCTGGATCGAGAACGAGAGACAGATCTACTTCGAGCACTTCCAGCACGACTACTTCGTTGAGACCGCTGAGACGCAGGAGAACCTGGTTCTGATCCTGATGCAGCCTCGTTGTCAGAAAAATTACTAGCCTCCGAATCAGACATATTATTCACAGTAATGTGTTAATTTTGTTTTTATTATTAATGTTAAACTAACAAGTAGCAAACACTTCTTTTTATTAGAAGTTTTAGGTAAGCATTTATAACGCTACACAAACCGAAAAACGACAAGCAGTTGACATGGACCATAGATAATAACTTTGACCATAGATAATACATTGATAGAAAATCATAGATGTATAACCATAAGCATCTGCCACAGATAGGACGTTGACGTGAAACTCTCACTGGATCTTGCCATAGATGATACACGCCTTTGTGTATCTATTATCTATGACACACGCTATTATCTATGATTGCTGTGTAAAGTAAGGTTAAGAATATGAAAGTTAATAACGAACGCAATTTTTAATTAACTAGTTTTTTAAACATTTATTTGAATAATTATTTCCCATTATATAATAACAAGAAAATGTGGTGACTACAAAAGCTCAGAACTTTAATATTTGATATAGTTTTATCCATTATATTTTTTTGAGATATTTTTCTAAAAAGTACCCTCAAATGTCTTCACCTCAAAACGTCTGGTTTATGGTGGGTGCCAGTGTTGTAGGTTTAGTAGGCGCAGTTGGAATAATGATAATTGAAAAGTTGAGGCAGAAAAGAGAAGAACAAATCTTGAAACAGCACATTGAATGTTTGGGCAAGGAAATGCAAAATATACGAAAAGAATTGGATACTTTGAGAAATATACAGAAGTATGTGGCTCTCTATCGGTTTTCTTTCTTATTGTTTGTATTATTTTTAGAAACACTTCTAAGAGAAGTAAGCGATCTAAAACTAGTACAGCTTCCACCACTTCTACTGATAGTTTTATAAGTGCTACAGATGGGGATAGTTCAGATTTAGAATTTTATGATGTTAGTGATGAAGAAGAGAAAATTTCAGATGCACTTGAGGATACTCATAGGGTGTGGCTAAAAATTTAAATGACAACATGTTTTGATATCTTAAAAACTATGTGCTAGTTTGCAGACCGAGTAGATTTAGTGTTAGACAGTAGTAACATTGAAGACCTGAAAATTACATTAGAAGAGTTAAAAGATCTAAGTGAAGAGTTCCCAGAAGATGCAAATATTCTCTGGAGAATAGCAAAAGCCTGCTACAAATTAGCTACAGATAGTGATAATTTAATTGATAAAGAAGAATACCTCAGACAGGGTATTTAATAATTTTTTGGTTTTTAAATTAAAATATCTAGAGTATTAAGTGTGTTAAAGGTATTGAGGCATGTAAGTCCGCTCTTAGAATCTCACCAAATAATTGTGACATTCATAAATGGTATGCAATACTGGTTGGCTCGAGGGCAGAAATTCAACCAATAAAGGAGCGCATAGCTGACGGTCATCTATTTAAAAAGCACGTTGACAAGGCTCTCACACTTAATCCTAAAGACTACATGCTCCATCATATGTTAGGAAGATTTGCTTATGAAATAGCAAGTTTAAAATGGTACTACAAGCACCTCTATATAATATTATCTTTTCTAAATTATTATTTTATTAAAGGTATGAACGAAAAGTAGCAGCGACGCTATTTGGGGAACCTCCAAGTGCCACCTATGAGGAGGCCTTAAACTGTTTTCTTCAGGTTGAAAAATATTGCAATCGAGAATGGAAAGAAAATAAATTTTTTATTGCCAAATGTCATTTTGTTCTNAGGACGAGGAACTGCCATGCGAAAATTACTAGCAGCACCTGTAGGATGCGGTAGGTCCAGAAGAGACGCGATACTTGTTTTCGTGCTTTTGGCAGTGTCGATTCTTCATCTTTGAAAATAAACCTAAAAAAAGAAATTATTCCATAATTTATTTGTTTACGGAAAGAAAATAAATTTTTTATTGCCAAATGTCATTTTGTTCTCGGACAAAAGTCTGAGGCTATCAAGTGGTTTAAGAATGCAGAGGCTGTACCTAGTCAAAATTATTCAGTAAGTGAGCTTATTTATGCAGAGTGTTGCAGAAAAGTATATAAGAGATAAAGAAATACTTTTGTTGTTTTCTTTTATACTCTTACTGCAAGTAATACTCTATATTGGTCATCGATTTATTTGAAATTTAATTATTTCATTTTTTAAGGATCATAAACTGCAACTTGAAATATTGGACATGCTAAAGAAGTGTCAAAGTTGAAAATAGTCTTTTATATTATACCTATTTTAATGTGTATTTTATTGAGTATGTTGGATGTACAATGGCTATGGTGCTTCTTTTTCTAATTGTTATACGGGGTATTGTTAATGTAAGTAGTTGAAAATGGTACGATTTTCTTATATCACATGTTATTTGATATGATATTTGATAGGTGAATATCATTTTCTATTACTTAATGCAATGACACAAATTCGATTTTATTATCTGATAAAAATGTGTATTTTATCGCTCAAACTGGATAAGTTTTAATAAAATAGTTTAAAACAAAGTTTTTTTTTTGATGTAGTAAGTTTTAAAAATCTACAACTTTAACCAGGGTGTGCCCTAAAATATTAATGAAAATACTTTCAATAAAATTAAAGACACACAAATGGTTTTAAATGCTTAAATTGAACATTGCTCTTGATAAAGTTGTAACATATGCAGAGTGTTAATAAACATTCTGTGAAACATTTTTGCGTTGTTTATTTTAATGATGTTTCATTTTCCCACCGCAAGTTCTATTGAAAGAAATGTTTTCCTTAAATCATTACTTTTGTTTACCATTCCAAAAGTAATAGTCTGTTTTCTATGTTTTTTTTTTAGCAATTTAAAATAGAAGAAAGTGAAGAAACAAAAATTAAATTGTTTTTACTGTGACGTAATTACAGATTTTATTACAATAACTTTATACATACAAAACTGACTTTCTTAGGTATATACTTTCAATACATTTCGTTACCCTTCTTAGAAGTTTTAGGTAAGCATCTATAACGCTACACAAACCGAAAAACGACAAGCAGTTGACATGGACCATAGATAATAACTTTGACCATAGATAATACATTGATAGAAAATCATAGATGTATAACCATAAGCATCTGCCACAGATAGGACGTTGACGTGAAACTCTCACTGGATCTTGCCATAGATGATACACGCCTTTGTGTATCTATTATCTATGACACACGCTATTATCTATGATTGCTGTGTAAAGTAAGGTTAAGAATATGAAAGTTAATAACGAACGCAATTTTTAATTAACTAGTTTTTTAAACATTTATTTGAATAATTATTTCCCATTATATAATAACAAGAAAATGTGGTGACTACAAAAGCTCAGAACTTTAATATTTGATATAGTTTTATCCATTATATTTTTTTGAGATATTTTTCTAAAAAGTACCCTCAAATGTCTTCACCTCAAAACGTTTGGTTTATGGTGGGTGCCAGTGTTGTAGGTTTAGTAGGCGCAGTTGGAATAATGATAATTGAAAAGTTGAGGCAGAAAAGAGAAGAACAAATCTTGAAACAGCACATTGAATGTTTGGGCAAGGAAATGCAAAATATACGAAAAGAATTGGATACTTTGAGAAATATACAGAAGTATGTGGCTCTCTATCGGTTTTCTTTCTTATTGTTTGTATTATTTTTAGAAACACTTCTAAGAGAAGTAAGCGATCTAAAACTAGTACAGCTTCCACCACTTCTACTGATAGTNTAACCTACACATAAGCTTTCACCTTTCACTCTTTCTCTTGAAAATAAATTGTACTTATAAATATTATATACCACCAACCAATAGCCGCCGTAAGCTGTTGCCATTTTTCTTCTTCATAAAATGAACATATCCACTACAAGTTCTATTACTTATTAAACATTTTTTTAATTTTTGTAAGCACTAGAGTTTCTGTTCCGATTAATAATCATTTTTTTTTATTCGGGTGTATCACTAAATTTGTTACGAAGAAGTTCCTTCCCTTCCTCTTCTTTTTAACATCTGGAGGATCATTATTTGAATTGTCTTTATATAGTACTGGCGTTTGCAATAATAATAATAACAACAACAACAACATTAGGGAACGAAGACGAGTCTCGCAAGACGAATAAGTATCTGGAAAGCGTTCGTCCATAATTGTCGCAAAGGGGTGAAGCGGAGGACGAGGAACTGCCATGCGAAAATTACTAGCAGCACCTGTAGGATGCGGTAGGTCCAGAAGAGACGCGATACTTGTTTTCGTGCTTTTGGCAGTGTCGATTCTTCATCTTTGAAAATAAACCTAAAAAAAGAAATTATTCCATAATTTATTTGTTTACTATAATAAAATGATAGTTCTGAACCGATAATTATACGAAAAGTTTTCAAAGATTAAATAAATTAAATCAAAAGAACGTTGGTTTCGAATTACTTTTAATTAGAAAAAAAAAAATGCTGACCTTCGAATTCCTATGATGTAACTTTCAATATATGATTCCCAATCTATTTGAGCGACGTCGAAATTGAATTCGTTCCTGTCCTTTTCGTTCAATGTAGCACTTAGGGCTTTCACGTTTCTGTCATCGAAATTCCACTCGTGTAAAGTGAAAAACTCCAAACAGGCTGCAGCTTTCGTTAATTTGTCTTGAACTTTAAGCATTCTGTAGAAAATAGTATTAATTAATGTATTACAGAAAAAAAAAACACAATATAACTTACATAGGTCTACCTCCACTTAACCACGTAACAGAGTCTAAAATGTATGCTGGTATTAAATGCAAGAAAATTCGCTTAAAATTATTGTAAAAAGCTGACTGTGTGACGCAGCCGTCAGGGTACCACACTAAATTGCTTTGGGGGTATATTCTAGTATATTTCAGTGCTAAATTTATAAATTTTGACCATGTTATTGGTTTTCTTTGACCTATAAAAGAACAGGAAACAGTATTAAATTTAAATTTTTAAAGTATATACTATTTTTTTTACCAACCTGTACAACAATTGTAGACGGGGATTTCCCTGGTTGGTTTTTGGGTTGCGATACTATACGCAGCCACGATCATTAAATTGATGACTAGATCAACAGGAATGAGGTCAGCTTTTTTGTTAGGGTCACAGAGCATAGTACGGAAGATTCCTTTGCCTGCCGCCGTTATAATCCCTGTGGGGCCATTCCAATTGTCCACCCAACCCTTGTAAGGGCCGTTCAGGCTACTTATTACGATACTCGGTCTAACTATTGCCAGAGGTAGATCACCTTTATTGTCCTAATAGAACGAATGTTAATTAAATTACAAATACTGAAAAATACGGATATTAAACTGTTCAATTTTTTTTACCTTTAACCAACTTTCGGCTAGGGCTTTCGTGAATGTGTATGTGTTTGGTCGTTCCCCGACTAGGTTTGGTGTAAGTTCGTCTACAGTCTTTTCGTCCAAAATGTCCACGAGTGCGGACACCTTTTCCGCAGATATTTCTGATGGATAAATCATTTCCTCAACATCTGTAAGGTTACAATTACAGTACGCTGTCGACACATGAACCTGTAACAGATATTACGAATTACATTTTTAAAATAAAACATTTTTTAACACTAAAGTTGATAATAACTATTCTACTGTCTGAGGTTTGAGTTACCCTGTAAATTGGTAAAAAATACAAACAATATTAAGAAAAAATATTTTTATAATGAACTAGTTCTTCCCCCCTATCAATCACTGTGAGCTCGAAACTGTTAGCAGCATTGCTTCGAGTGGTCGAAATTCACTTTTGTGAACAATTTGTTTAATCACTTTCTTTGTGTTAAAAATTGTTTGAAAAATTAAATTTAAAAGAATTGTTTGTAAATAGGTATGCAACACATCGTACACTTCAGCATAAGAAATTGCTGATATTAACTATGTAATACTACTTTAATAATTGATGGAGATTTAGATTGTATACAGGGTGGATCAAACTTGTGGAAAAAGGCTAGTATTGCGTGTGACCAATATTCAACATAAGAAGAAAAAAGGATTGAATTGATGTTCATTAATGTTAAGGTGTTTTCTAATTAATATATAAGATCGCTGTATGCAATTTTTGATTAGTTTTACTTGGACTAATTATATGTCAAAGTAATAAAACTTAATTAAAAAAAAAAATTACCAGAGCTTCGAGGTTGTCCATTTTCCGACATAATTCAACGAGTCTCTGTGTGCCAAGCATGTTGATGGTGACAGACAATTTGAGTTTTTCGTCGAATTTTACGGTGGCGGCACTGTGGAAGACAACGTTAACAGAATGGGCGAGACGCGCGGCGTCGCTTGGGCTTATGGCGAGCTCGGGCTGCGTTATATCGCCCTCGATTGCTTCAACTTTATTTAGATCTATTGGGCGTTCTTTCCTTAAATGATCGAAGAGCTGAAAAGAAATTGTTTTTTAAAGGAAAGCCTTACGTTCAGTTAGTTTTTTTTAATGTAAAAGATTTTCTTTTATTTTTTTGCAATCATAATATAAATGCGAATGTGAGTTTGTTTGTTTGTTACCATTTCACGCATTAACTACTTAAGCGATCAAAATGAAATTTTGTACACACATTGTCAGAGGTACAGGAAAGAATATAGGGTAGATACCATTTATCCAGAAAAAAAAAATTGTTCCCGGGGGATAGAAAAATTGGTTAGGTTATATATTGTTTTCGATGATCTGACATGTATTTAGGACACAAAACGTAGTATTTATATAAATTACATTAGATTTTCTGATTTGCTAGTTTCAGATATTAAGATTACTAGCAGTCGATCAAAAAATAGATAATTTACCAAAAAAAAAACTGGATAGAATATTTAAAGAGGGTTGTTCTAATAAGACTCTACTCAATACGACGGATAAAAATGGATTTTAATGGCTAAATAATTCAAAACAGGTACATATTTTGAACCACAGTTCAGATGTTATTTATTCATTTTTTCATTAAAGCGAACAGTGATCATAAATATATCTACACAACACCAAACTGTTCATTCAACCCGAATTGATTGATCCAGTGATTACTTAATAGATTTTCGTGACCAGGCGGAAACATTTTTGATTACGTCCGGTTTAAAGCTGAACTAATTAAGCTTCTTTTTTTTTTCGTTTACAAACCGTTATTAAACATCGAAGAAGGCTTGTAAACAGTACTTGACTTTCTTTTTCTTTTTTTCAGAAAGATCCGACAACATCTGGGTCACAAATAATAATTATTTACATATTATTTGAGGACGTTTGATGAGGTCGAAACGTTGTACAGTATGTTAATAAACAGTTAATTAGATAAAGTGCATCATTGTGATGCTCTTTTCGAATGTGCGCACCTTGACGGACAATTTTACAATATTTACATGTCTTTTAATTATTACATATGTAAATAGTCGAAATTTAACGAGATAGTGACTCATTGAAAAGCAGAGGCTAAAAGTTGAAGGAAAAGGAACAGATTAAGTCCATCTATAGTTGGACAAAACTTTTTTTGTATGTTTTTAAGATATAAGCCAGTTTTAAAAATTTTTTTGTCTGTCGTGTCTACGAAGTTAATTATTATTGAAACAAGAAAAAGTTTTTACATTTTAAATGCACAATGAGAGCATACATTTAAATTTGTGAAAATTAGGAAATACTTAAATAATGTTGGCGTTTAAACGTGAATTCGTATAACAGTATGAATGGTTACAATTATTACGTATTACGTATTACGATATTATAATTTTTTTTTGCATAAAATTAGCTTAAATATAGTTGAATAAAATAGGATATGATATACTACGTAGTGTATGCTCTACTGATAAAAAAATATCGAAATAAATTGAAATTAAAAATTTCCATTGAAAGAAAATTTCAAACAGTACACTTTTAACAGACTTTGCTGTAATGAATTTCGACAATTTTATTGGTGTTACGTAAATATTACTAAGTAATTTACAACAAAATCTTTTATTTCATAACAGTTTATTTAGTAATTTGCTATCAAGTTTCGCAGAGATGTTCTTAAAATTTAAACAAATTTTGAAAATAAAATTTTAGATTATTTTCAATGCACACTTTAATAAATTGTCATGACATGAGTGTATCATTCATCTATCATTTTATAAATATTTTTTTTTTATATTATACAATGGTTCAAGTATTTAAAAACACAAATATAAATCAAATAGACGAAAGCGCTCTTTGACTGGTTTATCGACGTGCGCGCGTGATGAAATTTGGATACATTTTATTTTATCGTTACTTTTATATAAATACAGGGTCATCATTAATGTCCAGTGTCTGCTATTTCTGAAAGATAGTTGTCGATAAAAATTAGAACACTAATGTGACTTCTTTAAAGGTTAGGCTAGGCTAGGTTAGTCCACGAACAATACATTTATGAATTTACTTGAATCCACTTTTTTTGTTGATAACAAATTTTGCGAAGCAGCACGTTAGAAGAACATTCAATAATTTTATTGATAGTCATTAATAAAGAAATAGTTTATAATTTACTTTATTTTATATTTTTAATTTTTAATTTTATTGTTGAGCGTGGCTTGTAGAAGGGTACAAAGTTTAGTCGAAACTGTTTAATTTTTTGTAAATATTAATTATTAAACAATAACTTTTAATGAAGTTATTACAAAAGTTACATTCGCTTACTATAATGTGTAACGTGTACATATAATTATAGTACACGAAAGTAATGTAATAATTTGTAAGTGACTTATTGTCTATTATGCACTTTATTACATAACATATAAGAAAAATGTTAGCTTCATTTTTTATTTTGTATAATAGGTACTTAGTAAATTATATTATTTATGTAAATTGTAATTATTGTAAATGTAACTGATACAATAAAAGATATAAGATTGCAAGTTTTCATGAAATTCATATAATGTGAAAATATTACAAATCTCCTACAGACGACCTAATTTTTCTTTGTTTTGTTTTGCTAGTGATTTAGTTGTTTTATAATTTACATTACCTCCTACGTAGTATACCAATAAAAGATACGATGTGCATCAAATCTGTCTTCACAACTTTATAAAATGACAAAAATTGTAATAGAAAATATTGCATATATACTGTTAATAATTTTGTTCCTGACACACATGGAAAGTCGGCGTAAATAAATAGTAATTTTACAAATATAATTAACAACTTACGAATGATTCTAATTAATTTTGAAACCAACCATTACAAAATACATTTAAAGTATTCGAAATTTGGATGTCGAAAAAAGTAATGTTCAATTAGAAATTATAAAGTATTTTATAAAAAAGATTTTGGCTAATTATTTTTCCAAATAAAAATTACAAAAAGTTCTCACATTAAATACATTTCCAGTAATTTTACGAAAATAACAATTATTAAATGCGAGAGTGACTAGGTATATGTATAAAGTTGTTTTCTGACATGGAAGAAATGTAATAATTTAAAAAAATTGAAATTAATTTGTTAACAAATTTTATATGTAAACAGATATTAGGTTTTTGAATTTTTATAATTAATTTATTAAGCAAATTCAAAATTCCAAAGTTCTCGTATTAAAAGCACAGTGATAACCGATATTATTAGAATGATTTGTAAATTATTATAAAATAATGTAAGAAAATGGAAAATGCATCAAGTGCGATCAGAATTATCATTGCAAATTTTTCAAAATATTTAATATTCACGCAGATAAAAATTACTCAAGAGTACTCACCGGTGATCCTAGCAGTTCCTTAAGCCTGTCTCTCGCATCCTGACCTCTTTTGGGCCTAATCAGCACATAAATCTTCGAGAGTCCAGGACAGGAGCGTAACAGTTTTTCTAACAACACTTTCCCCATGAAACCCGTTCCGCCAGTGACGAAAACTGTTTTACCCGAGTAAAAGTCCCCTACGGTTATTTCAGCCGTAGGGACCGCTTGTTTTATGTCCATTGCCGCCATCCTGCTATAGCTAGACGTACTTGGGATCGCCACCATTAGCTAATGCTTCTCCAACGTAGATAATAACAACAAATAACAACAATAATAATAATTGAGGCTCAGTGAACAAGGATCAATCTCGCTGGTCGAAAGCACTTTTTCGACTTTGGCGCAAACGGTACAATGTTTGGGTTTTTATTGCGAGAGATTTGTTTTCCCTCTCGCAACAGGTTGCGGCATATATCAAACACACACCGATGTGTGACCGTGAAAACGGTGTCTTAAATTGGCACCACCACGGTTCCCATGGTGAAGGTACTACCAGGTACAATAAAAAACAATTCGATACGCGGACACGTCGTCCGAAGAAAATATTTTCAAACAGTTTTCGTCTATTCTACGATCGGGCTTTTCTTTATCCAATTGTCTGGAACAAAACCAAGCGTTAGTGCAAATTATTATTTTCAGGACACCATTATCTGAATAATAACGCGTCACGACAAAAAACATATTCGACATTTTGTCCGATAATGATAAGGTGCATAATAACCAACAATCGCGTACATGAAATTTTGACATTTGTACATGTATTGTGGTAGGTTGCCATGGCACATGTAAATTTGTTTTTTCAAATTGCCCCCGCACAATTTGTTTATTGTCCATCATTGTAATTAAACCTATTAAGGTGATACATTGAGCCACAATGCATTTTTAAACAATAAAACTGGTAGGATGGGTGGTATCCAATAAACACAAACTGAATCCCTTATGAATCCCACCGAAAACTTGAACTTTCTACTGCTTATTTGTTTATTTTCTAGTGGTGCTATTGAAATAATATTTGAGGTATTAAAGTAACTTTATATGATAAATGCTTCAATTTTAGTTTATTTAAAAATATTGTCCACATCCTTCATGGATACGTTTTAAACGTGGATGGACCTCAACGACATCTGTGGTTGGAGTTACCATTTTACTAAGGCGCTCAGCTATTGATATTATCTGAGTGGTACTAGGAGAGGGCATCATAATAACGAAATTCAATGTTAATATAAAAATTTCATCATCGTAGGGTAAACAGTAACCTAGTCTAGGTCTACATCTACCCCTGTTAATTCCTGTTTCTGATTCTTATATGACTCTAATTAAAAAAGTAGTTTAATAATGAACTATTTTTTTTTTGATGCCAAATTTATGTGGATTAACTGCGTGATTATTTCGAAAAGGAGATAAATACATTTGAGTTCTTATTTTAATACTCTTAAAGGATCTTGTGACTCATTTGATAAATAGTAAATTCATAATTACCCAGGAAAGGAAGGAATTTTAGACCTCAATATACTTTCGCCAAGAATTAATGTATTAAACTTGTTAAGAGTACACAAAATATAATTACTGATTGATATCATAAGGAAATTTGAAACTTACATGCAGTTTTTTTGAGACAGTCAGATAAAAACTGGCCGAGCTCAAATAACCAACTATTTATATATTTGTAACTGATTTGAATGACGAAATAAAATAAAAATATTTCGTTACTTTCTTAAAATTCTGAATATATATGTATATATTTTTTCATTATATCTTATCAATTCGTGCAATTTCTGAAGGCTGCCTATCAGTTATTTAAATTAGTCTGTTCTTGACCATGACTTCTTACTGACTTATTGTTGTTTTACTGTTCATGGTCACGGGGTCACCGGAAAAAAAGGGAATTTTCACTTTACTTCAAATTCCTATAGTACGACACATACTTCGCTATTCTTAGCTTCGTTGCATCGATTGGCAACTTCATTAATTAATTAACATCTTATTATGGATTAAATCAAGTTTAAGTAGTAATATCTGTTCCGATTCAGCGGTTAAGATACGAAACTATAGACTAACGCACAATCTAAATTGGTGGAACTAGAGATTTGAAATTTGGAAGAAATATTTCTTAAGTAGACTCTAGGGGTGCGTTAAGGAGGGATTTCTTGATATTCTATTGCTAAAGAGACGAAAAAGGGTGTTAAAGCGATTGACTGATAGACAACGCACAGCCTTAACCGGTGGACCTAGAGATTTGAAATTTGGATGAATTATTCTTTGTGTTCGAGTCTATAGACGTGTACTAAGGAGAGATCTTTCAAAATTCCATTCCTAAAGGGGTGAAAAGGGATGTTAAAGTGACTGACTGATAGACAACGGACAGCCTTAACCTGTGGAGCTAGAGATTTGAAATTTGGATGAATTATACTTGAGTTCAAGTCTTTAGACGTGTACTAAGGAGGGATTTTTTTGAAATTTCATTCCTAAAGAGACGAAAAGAGACTGACAGACAACGTATAGCCTTAACCGGTGGATCTAGAGATTTGAAATTTGGAAGAAATATTCCTTAAATAGACTCTAGGGGTGCGTTAAGGAGGGATTTTTTGATATTCTATTTCTACAGAGATGAAAAAGGGTGTTAAAGTGACTGACTGATAGTCAACAGACAGCCGTAACCTGTGGAGTTAGAGTTAGAAATATGAATGCATTATACTTTGAGTTCAAGTCGTCAGACGTGTACTAAGGAGGGATGTTTTTGAAATTTCATTCCTAAATGGACGAAAAGCAGTGTTAAAAGTGACTGACTGATAGACAACGCACAGCCTTAACCGGTGGACCTAGAGATTTGAAATTTGGACGAATTATTCTTTGAGTTCGAGTCTGTAGACATGTACTAAGGAGGGATGTTTTTGAAATTTCATTCCTAAATGGGCGAAAAGCAGTGTTAAAAGTGACATACTGACAGACAACGCACAGCCTTAACCGGTGGACCTAGAGATTTGAAATTTGGACGAATTATTCTTTGAGTTCGAGTCTGTAGACATGTACTAAGGAGGGATGTTTTTGAAATTTCATTCCTAAATGGGCGAA